ACAGTAACTGGCTGTAAAGAGCAACACCTACAGTTAGTTACAGCTATAAAACGTCAGCTTCTGATCCTTTCAGGTGTTACTGGGACTACTGTAGTTTTAATACCTGCATAGTTTCACCCTCAACAGTTCCCCTGGTGAAGACGTAAAGCAGCTCCACAGATATGCAACGCAATTTAAATGGAAGGATTTCTATTTCTGCTGTATGAATTTCTACCCCAAGGTTAATTTTGCTGGGGGGAATTTTTTTTACGCTGAGGTGCAGGGGGACGAAGGGAGTGAAAGTTAAAGAAAAGCCAACAAACTGAAAACTATGTGCACTATGTACAACTGTGTATAATCAAACCTTTTAACAACATTTCTTTCAGCAACATTCAGCAATCAAAACAGATGATGCTGAGCTATTTTTGATGCCTCCTGCTCTCATTAAAAAGCCTGAATTTTTTTAAAAGCAAAAGAGTGCCATTTCTACTAGGCAAAGAGCACTTTTATTTAAAAAACACTGAAAAAAAAAATCAGTAATACTCCCTCATATAAGCTACATGCACCATCAAAAGTCAACTAGCTCTGAAACTGAGCCCCTTAATTCGGTTCGGAAAACTTTGAGCCTGGATCTTCCCTTAGTATAAACAGGCAAAATCTCCCCTGAAGTCAGTTATACCCATCACAGAATCCAGCTCTGTGATCACAGAAATGTTTAATTTTTCAAGGGGAAGGGGAGATTGACTAGAGAGTCCAGGACATGGCCCTGTCTATATATTACTGTGTATATTACTGTTTGCCACTGAAGGTCCAGCTTCGAGGCTGCAGATCTGTCAGTGACCAAACATGATGGACCACCCATTGGCCTTTTATTAACCAGCACTTGTTTCCCCTCTAATCCTATCACCAGAGTAATCAAAGCTGCCATGTCCCAGGGTTTGATGGAACAGCAGGACCCGGGAAATGAAGACTGATTTTGTTAACAAAGTCATTCCTGCCTCATGAATGCTGTCTCATTGGTAGAAAGCGGGGGAGACGAGGTTTATTTGTGCAGAGAATGAGGCGGCAAAGAAATGAAAGGGGGAGAATGGTAAAGTGTGAAGTTTAATCTGGCACAGTCTGAGGTTTCTTTATTTGAGGCCGTCTCTGATCCAATCAACACCGGTTTGATATTTAACATCTCCCCCTGCAGTTGGAAATTATACCAGCCAGAGCAGACTGGAGTCGGGGCCTCACAAACCCCAAACAGCCAAGGGGGAGAAAAGCGGGTGCTGGCAGCTCCTCACCAGCCTGACAGCTTCCCCCACAACAGGCTGGGATGAAATTTGGGACCTGACACAAAATCCTCTTTATGAACCGTAGGATTCAGGCCATCTGGATGAGCTGAATGCAGACAAGCTTGGGATGGGATGGGATTGGATGTGAGGGCGACTTTATTTCTAACCTGGAGGAAGGAATATGAACACTGTCTCAGGCTGCAGATGCTGCTGAGGAACAGGATCAAACACAAGCAAGAGTTTTCATCCACCTCCCCAGAGAAGAGTGGTTTGAGTAGAGGAGTAAGACCTTCCCCTTGCTGACCACACAGACCTTTAGTGGGGATACACTGCTGCCCAAGGGCATTCACTGAGGTCCCACCACAGCCCTGGCCATCAGGGTGGATGCCACAGACCTGAGCAGCTGCAGGAGTCACTGTCACCATTCTCCTTTACTCCAACAACAGTATGTCAGCCTGGGGAGAGATTCCCATCACAGACCCACATGACAGCCCCAAAGAGGAGGGAAAGTTTAGCTCTATACCCAGCTGGCCCTCAGCAGACACACGGACAAGTCCTCACAGCCGGTCATGGCACTGGCTGCAGTGCTTCTGCCAGGACTCCAAGAGAAGGCCCTGAATGGCATCTGCCCCTCACTGTTTTTCAGTCCTGGCTAACCTGATTTTGCCTTTTTCTGACCACTCTATAAATAACCACCAGTGCCATCAGGAAGAGTTGTCTGCTTCCTCTTCTTTGCATGCCTCAGCTCTTTCTGTCCCACCTTCCTTGAAAACCCTGAAACTTCAAACAGCAGGTGAAGTTTCAACCTGACCCAAACCTGACGTAAATTCCCCTGCTGCCAGACGCCCAACACAGCCTTCTGCAGGGATTCAGACACCTTGACACCAGCTAAACCATTCCCCAGGCCCAGAGACAGTGTGAGCAGCCACTGCCAAAGTCCCTGGGGGTGGGATAACACTCCCTCCGGGATCCAAGCAGGAGTGTGAGTGATGCTTGTCTGGAAGACTGTCAGGAAACGCTGCAGAGATATCAGGGGGAGCAAAGCATCAAACTACAAAGTTTCGGGGTATACAATAGAAAACAATGTGTCCTGCTCTACCTGCAAGAGCTGGCTCTCCAAGAAGCAGCTAATTATATGAGCCACCTTAATCTTTTTATCCAGCTAAGACAATCAACATTTCAAAGCCACGCAATGAACGTTTCAAAGATTGTTCCTGGTCAAAAATGCAAGTGTATCCACTTTCTTTCAGAGCAGATCAAAACCAAGTTCCTCACCGGGACCACTCCTAGATTTCCTCCTCCTCATGGTATCAGATTAACAGATTTGGTGCATGTAGTCAGATTAAATATTTGCAGTAGCACAAAGCTGCCTTTGAGGGGAAGAAATAGGGGGGAAAAAGCTTTCTTTTCTTTTTTTTTTTTTTTTTTTTTTTAATTTGCTTAGGGCAAAAATACTGGACTTCGGAGACATGGGAAACAAAAGCACTGACATGATTCAGCGAAGCACAGTTTTAAAACCTGAATTCTGAATGCAGAAATAATGTGCAGTATTCCCGTAACAGTAATGCTGAAAACAGGTAAGAAACTGCTGATGCCCTTAGCAGATTTGGGACTGTAATTTATCACAGATGTTCTCATCAAACTGTGCAAACACCCTATGAGACAAAAACTGATCAATTTCTGATTTCCACTTTATTGTGTTTTAATTACGTGTTGCTTAAGGACGGCTACAAAACCTGAAATTGGGAGGTGTAACCTCGCAATAGTAATCCACTCCACTAAATTAGCACAGTAATACACCAAGCAGTAGGACTGCCAGACGATGTGATAACATTACAAATTACTATTGTTAAACAACTAGCCAGGTGTCAGGATGCATGAAATCCAGAGGAAGCAAGAAAATAAATATCTGGTTTGTTTCGTTTAAGTTTGTCTCCTGTTGTTCTGGTGGCCTTGTTCCCAGAAAAAGTTTCAATCTAGGAAAAATCCTCCTGAACACTGATCTATTTTAGCAACATTGTCAATTCTCTTGAACAATTAAAATGTAGTGTATTTTTTTAATCAGCACAAATGTTTTGAATAAATGGTTGTCCTTTACTTGCCAATAGCAGTAATACCTTTGCTGTTCTTTCTTAGATTATTATTATGGCAAAACGAAGGGAAATATTTTGTTTCTATTTAAAACTTGGAGAGAAAAACAAATATGGTAAAAGCAGCAGTGAGTTTTGTACTCTGTCCTTTTTTCTTTCTTTGTCACTCGCTCCCTCTCATTCCAAAAAGAAAAAAAATGTAATATGATTCACGTTTAAAAGGCTTCCAAGTGGTACATTTTTAACCAAGTGTTTTCATGTGCTTGATTCTAACTGCCATTTTTGACCCAATTACAACCAAACACTATTGGATGTCTGGAATGGCTAATTATTTTTACCTCATCTTAAAGAAGGGGTTCAACAGAAAGGACAGGCACTTAAACCTTTCACACAGAAGAAGGAAAAACGAATTCCTTGTTTTAGATGTGTGTTAATTAATGCAAAAGTCCTGAGGGACTTTCTTTTAATTATTTTTCTTGATAAACAAGAAAATTCCTCCAGAAGAGTATGTAACTAATCTCCTCCTCTGAAGGCTGTATGCAGAGTTAGACGCCTTATTGAAATATTGGATGAACCAAATGTTAGTGAAAGACAGACTTTTTCTCCTTAAAATAGTTCCCACTAGACTTCAGGAGAGCAGGGGGTGAAGGCACTCTAAGGACATTTTAATCTCACCAATGATCAGTCCTTTAATCCTTATTCCCACATCACCAAGAATTTTTTTGGTCTAACTAGGACAGTAAGATAAGGCTGGAAATAGGCTGATCCCAAGCTAATGATGGAAAGCAAGCTGAAAACGAAATATCATAGCAGTAATTGACACCATTTAAATCACCCCTGGATTATTTGTTTTCTTCCACACACATTCATTTCCTCAATTTCTAGTAAATCTGATTTCACATAAACAGTTCCACAAAGCAAAGTCAATAGCAGTTACTGTGTTCCTGATTAATCCACTGAAATGAAATAGATCTCATGGCTTAGTATTTGGTTTTTTAAAGCTAAATCCACTGAAAGAATTCCGGAGTCCAGTTACACCAATAACTTTTGTTTCTTAACCTATGTCCCTTTTTTTTTTGCTGAACTTTACCTGCCTCTAAAATGAAAAAAACCCATGCATATTACACACTTAATTTCCCCCAGTACATGAGAGCAACGCCAGCCACTTTGTTTTGACCCAGAGTGACCACCGAAAAGACAGTTTGCACGTACTTAAATCATTTTGAACAATGTCGAAATTTCTATTTTCATTGTTCATGCTTCATCCTCTTCCTGACAAGTACCACAGAGCGGCTTTACTTCAAAACAAACAAACAAACAAAAGCCCTTTTCACCCAGCCCCGGGACAGGACTGAAGGCATGGAAGTTTCCCTCACAAGTGGCAAGCCAGCAGGCACACACATTTACACCCCGGACATTTGCCTCTCAAATAAATTATACACATGATACACACACTGCGCATATCGTGGGTGTTCCACAAGCAGCACGGATCGGTGTGAAGGACAGCGGGCAGCCCAACACAAAGGCTGCTGAGGCCCGTGAGTGACCACCCCGCTGCAACAGCCTTGGGGTTCACCCTCACACACCGATGGGAGTGCAAGGAGAACGGCCCCCACGTCCTGAGATAAAACACGAGGCCCAGCAGCCTCCTTACCTGGGAGAAGTTGAGCCCATTCAGCGGGTGACACTGCTCCTCCACCCGCTCCACAGCTCCTGTCTTCTTCTTCATCCTCTCAGCCTCCTGGGCGAGGTAGAGATCGAGCACGGGCACCCCTCTGGAGCGGATGTCCGTCTCCGTCAAGGAGTTCACCATGAGCATCACCCAGACGGGCCTCTTGCGCTCCCAGTTCCCGGCGATGGCGTTGAAGAGGTAGTCGGCGTAGAGCCCTTTGCCTCGCTGGTCCGGGGTCATCCAGTGGGGCAGCATCAGCTTGATGTAGTCCAGGTGGCGCTTGAGGCGGCGGTAAAGCTCCCGGGGCAGCACGTCCTGCAGGTTCTCTCCGTGGGGCAGCATCTGGCAGCTGGCCAGCCCGGAGATGGTGTAGGGGTCCGTGAGGTCCAGCTCAAAGTAGACGCTGGAGCTGGCGTGGAAGGCGGCCTTGGAGTTGTCAGGGATGAAGTCCCAAACTCGCGTGTAGGGCACGTGGATGGTGCCGAAGAGATAGGCGGGGGGGTCGCGGCGAATGGTCCAGAGGAAGGAGTTGAGCTCTCCTTGCTGCGGGGAGGACAGCGGGGCTTGGTCAGAGGTGGAAAGGCAGGAGACGGTCATGCCACCCTCAGGGCAGGAGGAGCGGGGGTCCCGCTCCCCCCTCGTCGCTGCACGATCCCCAGCGGAAGCAAAGCCCACGGGCGCCCGGAGGGAGGCCCGCGTGGGGCTGAGCCCCGCCGTGACCCGCCCGCTCCCCCCGGTCCGGCCCGGCCCGGCCCGGCCCCGCATCCCTCCGGCCGCGCTCGCGGCGCGGGGCCCCGCGCGGGGCACACGCGGGGGACACGCGGGGCGCACGCGGGGGCAGCGCCGCCACACCTGCGGGGCCACGCGCGCCCGCGTGCGCGGCAGAAAGGATGGGGGGGGGTCGGTCCCCTCCGCGCGTGGCCCCCCCTCCCGCCCCGCACGAGCACCCGCGGCCCCGCGCGCACCCCGAGCATCGCATCCCCCGCTCGGCCCCGCGCGCCCCCGGCCCGGCCCGGCCCGGCTCACCGAGCGGGGCAGGTCGCACTGCCCCGTGTCCATCTGCTCCCGCCGGGCCGCGGCGTCGGGCAGGAACCCCCCGAAGACGAAGCAGATCAGCGTCAGGTTGAGTTGCATCCCGCTTCCTCTCGCTCTCCTCTCTCTCCTTCCCAGATGAGCCTTTTTGGATTTCTAGGATCTCTTTTTTTTTTTTTTTTCCCTCCCCCTCCTCCTGCTCTTCCCCCTTTTTTTTTTTTTTTTTTTTTTTTTTTTTTTTTTTTTTTCCAATTTAAATCCGGCGGCCCGGCGGGGCTCCGGCGGCGCGGCGGGGAAGGCGGGCGGTGCCGTGCGGGCCGGGGCTCCCCGCGCTCCGCGCGCCGGACCCGCGCTCGGGCGGAAAGTTCCGCGCAGCCGCCCCGGGCCGCCCTCGCCGCTCGCGGCCGCCGCCAGGGGGCGATGGCGCCCCAGGGCCGCTCCTCAGCGCCGCCGCCTCAGCCGGCCGGCGGCACCTGCGCGGGTCGCGTTAAACACCCGACATCGCCAAGTTCCGACACATTCCCCGAACTAAGTAAATGTGGCAGAGTCACTTGGGCAGGGCTGTGTCTCGGCCAGCCGGCTCGCCGGGGCATGCCCCGGGGCGCTCCCCCTCAGCCCTCTCCGGCCGCGCTCACCGGCGCGGCTCCCGGCGTGAGGCGACATGTCCCGACAGGCGCCGCCTTCCCCGGCCCCTCCGAGCCCGGCGTGGAGGGCGGGCCAAGGACGTGGTCCCTGCATGGTGCGGGCAGCTCCGTAACCCGGAGCTCAGCTGTCCTCGCCCACCCCAGGGGCGTCCCCCGCCCTCAGCCTCACAGAAGGTGGAAGGATGGAAACTTCTGCCGGTTTCCGAACATGCACCGTTAGTGATGCAGCTCTCACTGCTCATCACATTTTGGACTTAAATGCCTCAGCAACAAGATCTGAGGTAGTTCTTGGTGACAGGAGCACACCAGGATCCCTGAGGGTCTGCCTCTCTGGGAGTTGTTCCAGCAGGTGCTTCAGCCACCTCCCGGGTGTCCCATGTTTCAGAGCATAGGGCAGGCTGACAGTGCGTGTCGCTCCCACATGCAGGAACTCCTGCCTCTGGATCCGTTCAGGGCGGGGATGGGAATCAGAGTGCCAGATGTAGCCCATTCTCCCTGCAGGACATTGCCCAGCCCTGGGCATCACCATCAGCCTTCTGACTGTGCTGTGCACACAGTAGAGCTGATCTGTGTCACGGCTTTCCTATCACCTCCCAGACTAGGAACACTCTCCAAAATCGGCAACTTTCTCACTGTATTGAGAACGATAAAATCTACCAAAGTTTGCATGATGAAATCCAGTCACTACTGTTGTGAAGCAGGGCTCTTGCTCTGGCAAAACTTGGAGCGGAGCCAGCAGGGTTTTGCCAAGGACAGTGTGAGACTCCGGCCCAGCTGGCTGTATAAAAGTGGCTTCCTGACAGCCCTGGGAAGACTGGGAAAGTCACCACTTGCTGTGGTGACTGATGAAAAAATGGAGCTACCGGGCTGCTGAAGGGACTTCTGAACCACTGTGTGTGCATCCCCTGCGCTCTGCTCCTGACAGGAGAGCGTTCTCCTAACCACAGTGTTGGAAACAGCAGCTCCTTTCTGAGTGAGGACACTCATCGTCTTCTCTCCCCTTCCAGATCTTCCAGACAGGTAAAAATCAGGCAAAAGAGCAGGGGATTGGTTTTTCCTCATGGTGCTTCTAGTTCTTTAATATTTCAAAGAAATATTCAATTTTCTGATTCCACCCTAAAACATAAGGTTCAGATAAGGGAAAGACAGAAGGGCAGAAAGAAGCAGAAGGTTTCTTAGCACACAAGGTGTCCTATCACTGCAGCACAGGATGGTCAGCTGAGTCATAACCACATTGGTGCTGGCAGTCTGGAGTCACCTGTGGCTCTGTGCTGCTGGGATACAGATTGGCAGCAGGTGTGTGCGTTGCTCTGTAGGCAGCAAGCTCTCACGTGCCCTCCCCACACCATCTGCCCCAGGAGACATGACACTGGGCCCGGCCTCTCAGCTCGCCTCCCAGGCATTGCTGGTGTGATGACATGTCCCCACAAGGATCGGGAGGCAGGGCCCGGCTGCACATGCCCACGCCATCTCTCTCTCTCCCCAGCAAGCCCACTTTTCTCACAAATGTGCCCCCGCACTCACTCCCAAGCCACCTACCCCAAGTGTGCAGGGTGCTGCACGGTCACTGTAGGTAGCTGTGCCCACACCTGAAATGAATTCCAAAGCAGGAAGGGTGGTGTGATCCACGTCCCAGCAGATGCGATACCACAGGGCTAAGTCCAGTCACAACACAGTGTCCTATTGCTTTTCCCTAAGCTTACACAAACTGTTTAAAAGCTACAGGCTTGATGTTGTCGTGACACTGTAGCACGGAGATCTGCTGCATTTGCTCACAGCTGGATCAAACTGTCCTTGCATTCAGCAAGAACCACTTCCAAAGTGACATGGCTGCACTTGCCTGGCTTAGTGGCTTTGAATTGGTCCAGCTCTTTCCCAAACCTCTTCCAAAGAGGGGCCCCATCAGAAGGCCGGTGTGGACATCACCAGTGATGTGACCCAGCACCTCATGTGATAGAGGAGATGCCTGGGAGGTCTGTGAGATGTGAGGCCCTGCTCCGTCCTGTGTGCTGCGCCGTGAGGGAGGCGATTACCCTCATCCATGGCGTACATATCAAAGCACCAGGGGCAAGAATAAACAAACATCTTTGGCACTGTGCTCATCTTCCATGAGCCAAAAGGCAGGTGTGTGTGTGTGTGTGTGTGTGTGTGTGTGTGTGGGTATAGCAAGTTTTCCAGCCGTTTCCCTGAACTCAGCCCTGATGTTGCAAGAACTGCCTAGCTGTGAAAACACGGCCTCGCCTTGATTTATGCTGTGTGTGGGTAAGATGACTCAGAAGAAGGGGAAGAAAAAAAAAAAAAAAAAAAAGAAGGGTAGAACAGGAACAGAAATCCCAGTGGGAGCACAATGAGGGCGTGTGCCAATTTGGTGGGACAGTCAGGTTGGGGAAACTGCAGCCAGAGCTTCAGGCAGTAGGAAGAGTAGACCACAAACCACATGATATGTGTCATGATGTTCCACCTAAGACACAAAAGCATGCCACAAGTTTTATGAAGACAACTCTTTGGTAACAGTAAGGAAATTAATTCTTTTGTGTAATTGTAACTTTTTTTTTCCCCTCCTTCAGATGAGTTCCATATGTCCTCGCGATTTTTTACTTTTAAACATATCAGTTTAGAAGAAATCTTAAGTAACGTTTAGCCTGCTTCTAAAGTAAATATTTACAAAAACATTAAATAATGGTTCTGATCTTTGGAAAATGTGTATTGCTCCCTACCTGCTACTGTTTTGTGCCTATCCAGAGTAATAGAGAAGCTCTGTAGAAAACCCCAAGGCTGTAAAAGCAGTATAAGAATGTGATGAGCAGTAATCAGATGGGAAATACTGACTATTAAAAACTGTGAAGAGATAAGAGGGCTAAACTCCAAAGGGAAGATTGCATTATTTTGGTTTAACTAATTTTAAGAAAATTAATGGGGGAATTGGCTTTTAACCTTACAAAAGCCATATTTTTTTTTGAAGCCTAATAAATAGTGTTAGATGATATTTACATCATGTATCATCTTCAAAGAGCTTTACTAAATAAATATTAATCATTTCGCCAACTCCTTAAAGGTAACCACTTTAGGGGTGTGGTGAGGCAGCAGCTTACCCAGTGAGTTGTGCTAAAACAGGAAGTGAAGACAGCCAGATTCAATGAGGAGCCCTGTGTGTGTGGGTACAAAAAAATATTTGTGGAGGCTTTAACAATATCTTTAATGAGGCAAAACAAAACTCCCTGGGATAGAGGGCAAATTTCTTTGTTAATGAGAAGCTGGCACTGGAACTTGTAATTACAGTGAGTTTCCAACAGGTAAAGAAGATTATTAGATTTGAGAGGGAACAGCTTGCGAGGGATCGGTATTTGTGTGTAGGCAAATGTAACATTTTTTTAACAGAACGTGCTGCTTACAGGGCTAACTACCCTTTTGTCTCTTCCACTCCTCTCACCTTCCTCCCAGGAAAAAACATTGTATTGCTGGTCTGTGCTGTATCAGTATTTCCCTGTCTCTGCCATGACGTGTTCTCTTTTGAAGAATTTCAAGGCACCCAGTGGATTTCAGTCTCTGCCTTTCTTATGCCTTTCCCTCAATAAGGAATTCTGGCTGACCCACTGACCTTCCCAAAACCTGTCCTGTGTCAAAACTGGAAGAGTAAGAACCCAGCTTTTCCTTCTTCCATGAATGAAGCTGGAGGTGTCTTCTGCTCATGCCAGAGATGGCAGGTGAAATTCAATCTTTTTGTAGGCTGCAGATCACAGAATAATTCAGGTTGGAAGGGGCTTCCTGAGGTCTCTGGTCCAACTGGCCTCACTCTGAGCTGGATTAATTACCATGTTAGATCAGGTTGCTCAGGTCCAGTTAAGGATCCTAATTAGATTTCTCTGCTCTCTTATGCACAGGTGGCATTACACGTAGCTCTCCCGGACTCAAAAAGCACCAAGCCTAAAGCAGTTGCACCGCTATCTGTCGTGCCATGGCTTATTAGTTGCTGTGACACCTGTACTGTGATGTGTCTGACAAATAGATTTTCCTGCAGAAGATTGATTTTGATGTTAGCTGTCATAGTCACACATAACATTGCTCAGTCGTGCAATTCCTGACTTGAAACATGCAGTTGTCAGTGGAACAAGCCTCTGCTGCTTAAGGCTGTCACACTGAAACCGCTGAATTATCACAACTGTTTTAAATGTTTCACATCTTTTATTTCCTTGTGGGGTGTTGCAACCAATAAAATGTAGTCACTGTAGTCAGTCCTACATTGCCCTCCCTGTTTGTTCTCGTGTGTCTTTTGTCTCAGCATTCCAAAAACAATGAAGAAAATCCCCTCTCAGTCCTGACATCCTCCCTCCTAAGGACTAGGTATGAATTTTGCAGACCAACCGGCATTAAGAGCTTGTATTACATTTTGCAAAGTCTCACCTTGTGCTGTGGCCTCTGCAATGACAGACCACATCCTGCCTGAGACTAGGCGTGTAAATAGCTGAAGAAAACCCTTCCCAGTGTCAGACTCTGGAATGCATTCTCCCTCTGTATAAAGTTTAGTCTGTGCTTGTGTATGTATATGATATTACCTATGCACACCTCTAAGAAGGTGTATGTAGTGATG